CTCTATTTCTCTCTTTCTCTCTCTTTCTCTCTCTTTCTCTCTCTCTCTCTTTCTCTACATTTCTTATTCTAAGAATCACAACGTTAAAGAGATTCTATTCTCTCATCTCCTTCTCTTAAACTTTATTAATCGTTCTCCTTCTATTTCCTCTTCCGAGAAACTTAGCAACACTGGCATACCGGTTGACCTTCGAGGAATTCCATGAAACGTTCGAGGAAACAAAGGACCCTAAGCGTGTATATGTAGTATTACTACACTACTACGAAAGGAAGAGAGAGAGAGAGAGAGAGACAGAGAGAGAGAGAGAGAATGAGAGAGAAAGAGAGAGATATCGTCAACGGAAGCCGCAGTTGTTGGAGCGACCCTCGCATTGTGAATATCGTGCCGGTTGTCGATTGATCGAGATCGTGGAACGAAGACAATTTCTTGTTCTATTTTTTCTTATACAATATTTTCAAGTTATAAAATTAAATTCCTAGTCATTTGTTATGGTACATGTACTAGACACTGTGAAAAAAGGATCTTCATCATCATCATTATTGAAATTGAAAGTTGGAAAAAAATAATTAGTGTGCTCGATTAGGTCTGGACTAATGCAAATATGTAGCATTGATATCAAATTGCACCAGTCCCGGCCTGATCGGAGCATACTATAACGACGTTGGAGAAATTGTTTCTTTTATTTATTAGAATTGGTAAGATTTCGTAAAATTGAAATTGTTACTTTTAATTTTATTTACGTTTTATATATTTCTTTATGTATATTATATTTATATATTTTATATATATATATATATATATATATATATATAAAAATAAAATTTATATGTGCATATGTATATATGTATCATTTTTTAGATAATTATACTCAATAATTATCTTAATTTTTATTTCCTTATTTTATTGACTTAGAATTAAATAATTTTAATTCACAATCTCATTTACATGTATCGATTTATTATTAATGAATGTTTTTACCATATATTATGAGTTTACATTTTCGATTAACTTTCGTAATAAAATTGTTTTTAAAAAGTATAGTATTAGAAATTAGAAGATTAAATTCAATCACAATTATTATCATTTTTGATCTAATTAATAACGTCATTAATATCAATTTATTATCAATAAGTACATCCTTACAACAGTTTACTTTATAGATTCGCATTTTTATGATAAGATCATTCTTACGAGTTTGATTAGAAATTAGATAATTAAAAAGACTCGATAATTATCTTCATTTTTGACTTAATTAATAGTTTCATTTGTATCAACTTTTATTATCACTGAATATTTTTATTTTACAGGCTGATTTCATGATAAAATCATTCTCAGATTTAATTTTTTTAGAAATTCCAATAATTACATAATGGGTTAGTATTGTTTGTCTACTGTCGTAATCTGATAGAAGGATCCGATATATATCATTATTGCTTCTTGGAATTGAAAGCACTAGTAGATGTAGGTAATTTAAGAGTTTGTTTCGAGTTAGATTAAAAAGAAAAAAAATTTGATCCTTATGATACGATTTATGTGGAAACATTTCTATTTTTACAGAATTCACATAAAGTCCGATAACACTTTTACCATTTAAATTATTTAAAGTGTTATCTGACTTCATGTAAATCCTTTATCAATTAAATATACATAAGAAAATAATTTAATCGATTTGGAATAACGATCTATTTGGAAAACATTGTCTATATGCCCGAATGTATGTTGCATAAAGTTTACACATTTACATACAATATATGATCGTATATACATGTATCTAACATAAGTAACGTATGAAAAGAATGCCGACAAATTTGAAAGCTTAGGTAAGGTTATGTCTACATATATTGTTAATATTAATACTGCATTTCTTCTCTTTATACATGTAATATATACACTTATATACGAGAGATAGGAATATATATTATTATTTAATATTATTTATAATTTACGAATAAAGATTATTTTATTCTATATATAATTATATGAAATAGAAAAAATTCAAAGAGAGCAAAAAAATTTTGTTCATTGTTTCAGTAAGGAAGAATTTCTCGAATTACTGACTATTGTTAAGAAACAGCCATCTTCTTCGCTTGGGCGCAAATTGTATAAAGCTATGATCGATGAATTGTTGGAGAAAATGAACGATCAATTGAAGGAAATATATCAAGAGGGTTCGTTAGAAGCTGGATTGACAAAACTTTCCAAATTGTCAGAAGAAGCAGGGAATACAGTTAATAATGAAACTGTTTGGTATATTAGAAATCTCTACTTTATTTTATAAATAGTTTATTACTGTAGTAATATTTATTATATTATATTGTATACACGTATATATAATATAGGAGACCACCTGGAGATGTTAAAGTACATTTGAGATCTTTAGACTCAAAAAAGATTAAGGTAGAATGTGAAAAACTGGAGAAATGGTTGACTGAAATAGAGAATGAAAATGCTATGTTAATGAAGAAACTGACTAATGATAGAGCTAAAGTATATACTATTAATAGCAGAATAGCAAAGATTTTACACCGTGGTCCTATGATTCAAGAACATTTGGAAGATCAAGTTGAGCAGTTGCAACATTTACTCCAAGTTTTAGAAAAAGATTGAGATTCTCTGTGTTTTGTTTACGAATACAAGATAAAAGGATTCCACTTGAATTGTGAGAAAGGACATGTGAAGACAAAGAGGTAGAGTTTCTATTTTTGGAATGATCAAGAAAAAAGACCGTTTATAGTATGATGATAAACGGAAGAATCCGAAATATGTTGAAAAAGGATTGGTGGAAATATTTGAAGTTCTATTTAAATATTTTCTTTATTTATTTATGGTTATACTGATTTATAAGCCATGTGTCATAGTCAATTTTTGTGTTATATTAAATTTACTATTTTTATTGCCATACTAAATCGACCATTTTTGTTGTCATAGTAAATTGGCCATTTTTATACCATAGTAAAAGAAAATGATTTTATATTCATGTATGTAAGATACTCATATGTAAGACACGTTACTTACTACGTCAATTTTGTTAGATCTCATTTGAAGACTTGTTGGTTAGGATAACGTTAATTTTATCTCGTAACTCTTGCGAGATATTTTTCATTTTCGATGCTCTTTCTAATTTACGAAATAAAGCTACATTTCTTTTCTACGATATAATATTATTAAATTAATTGTAACACGTCGTTTATAAAGTGTATTTACGCAAGAACATAAAATGATTATCATGATTATAATTAATCTTAAAAAAAGGAATTGTATATTAATTACCTTTTCTATCTCTATTATTATAGATACTTCATTAATCTTTTTGTCATTTTCTTCCTTTGACCGTTTACATTCGATCAAACTTTCCTTTAAATTATCTTGTTCGATCGTTAACTTTTCAAATTTCCCGCGAATTTCTTCGTGTATGTGTTGATTATTAAATATTACGCAGGACAAATAATTATCGTGAATATTTCTTAATCGATTCTGGAGCACCTCGTTTCTTATTTTCATTTCTTCTATTTCAAGCAAAGTCCTTTCTCTCGATTGATTAACATAAAAAATTTTCATTTCGATTTCTTTGTATTTTTTACTAAAAATGGTTTGTAATTTTTTTCCATTTGATTGCATATCTTTTATAATATTCATCTTGTTTTTATCGTCTTGCATTGTAGAAGAACAATTTAAAACAAAAAAAGAACTTGTTTTTGAAATTTTTTTTTTTAAATAAAATTTAATTAAACAGAAAAAAAAGCAAAGTAATATTTTGAATAATTAATATAACAAAATATCGTTGGATTCATTCGAGTTAATAATGTTCGATGTTAATTTCTATGAAAAATATTAAAAGTTGAAAGAAAAACGATCGACGTTTCTATGAAAAATATTAAAAGGTGAAAGAAAGACGATAAAAGAAAATGGCGATTATGGTTGGACAGTGATGGTGCAGCAGCGACAACATGGCGAATTATCCACGCTAAACAAGTTCCCGCGTAAAGGCAAGCTCGACGTTAATTGGTTCATTTCCTCAAATCGCATAACTCGGTTGAGTACAGCTAGTAGGCCGGCAGATGGCAGTAGCATTAGCTCCGTCCGGTGCATCGCACAAGGCGGCTCGCCATTGTGCCCCGTGATTGCCTACTGAAGTTTTCGTGTTGTGAAGGAGAATTGATTTGGTTTTTAGCAGTCTCCTGCGAGCTTACTAGCTGTGCCGCTATAACGGGTAAGTCAAAAATCATTATGCCGTGAAGGATTGACATTGAACATTATTCGTTAAATAATTTTCGTGTTAAGTGAAAAAGCGTCCTGCTCGCCCGTTTCTCATCTTTTTTCTTTTTTTTTCTTCTGTCTTTCGTTCTATCTTTTTTCTTTTTTATCATTTTCAACATATTCCATCGGGTTAATAATTAAAACGATGAACGACTTCGTACACATAACACATTCGTTTTTTTACGTCGCAAATAGAGTAACGACGTGCCGACGTTACTCGACTTTTTGGGGGTTAGTTTTGTGCCACTGGCGGGCACGCTCACGCTCGCGCGCGCGCGCGTCCGTTCGTCGACTCTTTGCCTTCTTTCCTGCCCTTACGATCGTTTCGTTCTTCAATTCCATGCAGTGTTGTAGGATGGAATACGTAAACTTGTTACAATTTTTCAATTGTCTTATTTGTCTTTTTTATCTTTTTTGTTTTATTTTTAATTCTATTTTTTTTTGTCTTGTTTTTTGAATACAATGTTTCATTTAAGATAAAAGTAATAGAGATAGAGATAGAGATAGAGACAGAGTGAGAGAGGGAGAGGGAGAGAGACAGAAAGAGAGAGAGAAGAGAAAGAAAGAAAGAAATAAACGAGTTTAAATTTATAGGTTATAAGTTTGTACGTTCTGTTTTTCTAGGAGGTATCGCACCGTGTTATACGATAACAACGACAACGACGATGAAGGTCGACAGCCGAAGTCGATAATTCCGGTAGTTCGTTTCGGTTTCTTCCGTCGGAATTCGTTTGAATTCTTTCGTACGTTTATCGGAACATAATAAAGTCTTTCGGAAAATTCCTCCATAGCGGAGTCTTTTTCCTCCTCGTCGTTGCGTCGTTTCGCTTTGAGTTTCTTAATTAATAAATAAATTTTTTTGCTTTAATTTTATTGGACAAGGATTAGAAAAAAGGTGGGTGGGGCATAGGGGGAAGAATTACGCACGTTAGAAAAAGACAGTGAGATCAGCGCCACTTCACGAGGATTTCTTTTGTCATTGGAGTCGTAGTCATTTCTCGTTCCTCCTTGCGTATGCCCGCCGCGTTATCACAAAAGATAACATGATGGATCACAATTTTATTATCTGCTCATTCTCGATTGTAACGTTTCAATCGCAATGAACGTAATATTATGTTTTTTTTTAGTTTTATCCAATTTGTTTTCTATATATACTATTAGATTTCTTATTTCTAAGATTTCTTTTTTTCGTATTTGGTGATTTGTTATAGACAAATTTTGATGGAATGAGATTTAAAGTTAGATGTTCATAGAACACGCACGCATAGTAACAAGAAGGGAGAAAATTTAGATTATTTTGTAAGAATAATAAGTGTTTGTTTCGTTCCATATATCAACATTATACATGTATATATATTATACGTATCTCATAATAACATTACATGTGTATATATATATATGTATATGTATATATTTATGTGTATATATACACATACATCAATTTACACATAATTATATATATATATATATATATATATATATATATATCTAATAATATGTTGATAACAATGTGATTGACATCAACATTGCACATATAGCAACAATATATTACATATTGTGTATATATCAATATGTTGATATACTAATGTATTGATATAATAATATGCTGATATTAACATTGTGTATGTGTGTTTGTTATATTTTTCAGAAAATATGCTTTTTTATAATTGAAGATTTTATTAAAATAATTAATGTATCGTTATTTTTTATTCCTTTCTCTTAGACTGGTTAGTCTTAAGAAACTCAAGCGTAACCAACGAAACTTACGTCGGAGAATCTCGATGACCTCGAAAGAGAGACTCTCTTTGCGAATGCATGCAACCATCTGCGCTATAGCATTTCTTACGTTTATACTCTCGCATAGGTTAGCTCTCGGCTGTATACATGTAGCTTCTTTGGTAACAAGTCACGTGACTTGCCAATAAACACTCATTCGTAAGAAATTATTTTAAACGAATTCGAAATAATTTCGATAAATTTTTTGAGTTCAGATTTTTCTTTTTTCTTCTCTATTGTCGTTTTTTTCTTCTTTTAGTTTATTTATTTTCATTCAAAATTTAATTAATTTATTTTATGGAGTACAAATTTATTACTATACATACATGTAAATACGTTTAAATATAAATAATGGCGTGGGTTCTATCAACGTTTGCCATCCTCTTCACTTACCATCGACAACATCTATACGTGTAAGGTATTACGCTGGAATGCTTTCGAACACGATCATGAGTCTTCGTAGGAGGTATTCGGATAATAATAACTCGACAAGATATAGATATCTAAAGAATTTGCTTGAAAAATATTCGTTACTTTCTTTTTCGTATTTTTATATTCGGTTCTCTTTTTGTTTCAGGACCGTAGTTAGGATTACTAATACCTCATATTATATCGTTCTTTATTAAAACATATTTTGATTAATTTATATTAATTGATTTTTTTTTCGTTGAATAATATTTCATTAGATTTAGTTCTTATTAATTATTTTTTAAAAACATTTCACTTTCTTCTTTTTTCTATTATGATAAAAACGAAATTTCTTTTTTTTATTTGTTTGTAAATCGTATTTAAGAAAAGTAGGAAAGAGAAGTTTGTTTTGGAATCTATCTAATGTTTCTTTTCTGTTTATTTATTCGCTGGAAAAGCTTTTCTATTGGTTGTTGGTGTTGCGCTGTTATTGAGTGTCCGACCAACCCGTAGACAAATCGGCCGAGAGTAAACAAGTATTTTGAATACAAAACATGTACCCTTGGAACGCGAGTATTACTGTGTTATGATTCTACGTGATTAGTTTTCACTGTGGAAATTTGTGTCCGCGAATGAACGCGTCTGCTACTTTCTGTGATATTTTATGTTATTCCATGAACTGTACTGAAATGAATGGAAGTTGCAATGGTCGTTACATTATATATGCATACGATATATAATATATACATCTTGCAATTTTCGAGTTATCTCAATTTTTTTTCTTTTCTTTTTTTTTCTTATTTTCTTTTTTGTTTGTTTTTAAGAGAAATTTAGTCATGTAACGCAATGGACGATAACTTATGGTGGGAAAAAGAAATAAAAAATAGAATAAAGAGAAAAGAGTAGTTACATAAAATCGTTAAAGAACAGACGTTTATATTCAGCCGGATTTTCGATTTTATTTTTTGAAAACTTATTTTGAGGTTATGTCTTTCAAGTTATTACAGATGTTCGATCAACGATAACAATGCTTCTCATTTTGATGAATCGTTTTCTATGTCGTCTTTTGTTCTCTCTTGAATTTCTTCGACGTTTTTACGTAACATTCAGTCACAGTCTAGATAATTGCTTGGAATGTAGAACAAGAATAGGCGTTAGTCTCTTTATTCCTATTTCTTGTCTCGTTCTTACATATGCCTATGTATTATATATGCGTAGTACTGTATCTCTAACCTGTTTTCTAACGTTCATTAGATTTAATGGACTTTATACATACGCACATGCGCGCGCGTACGCACACATACATATACACACACTTATTTATATATAGAATAACATTTACATATATATGTTTCGAGATAAATGTACCTAATAAGTAATATGTATTTTCAGTATTTTATTATGTAAACAAGCAACATTGAGTTTAATATTTCTTTTTGTTACAAATTTAGATTATGATATGCTATAGTAATATCGGAATTTATAGTAAGTAGCAGTCTTAATATTTTTGTAAAATGTTGATTTTATTTATTAAGAAATCCAAAACTACACTATACTATAATAATGTCGGACTTTGTAGTAAAAAATACTGAAAATACAGTGTCGTTTATTTAATTATAAAATTTAAAAAAATTGTTGATATTATTATAGTACAATACGTAATATTGTGTTGATCAAGAAGAAACGTTGAAATTTTCCATAAAAATCTTTCAATACAGTGTTATTGATTTAAATATAAAATTGTGCAGATATTTCGACGTTATTATAATATAGTATAGTATCGGGTTGACCAATAAGTATCATGTCAAAATTTTTAATAAAAAATCCTAAATATATAATAGCTATTATATGTATATGCATGTATTACTTTATATTATTATATGTATATATATTATATATACATATATATATATATATATATATTATATATACATATATATATATATATATATATTATATATACATATATATATATATATATATATATATATATATATAATTTCTACATTCTATATACTAAATTTCAACTGTACTATAATACAGTATAGTATAGCATTTAATTTCACTATTACTTATTAGCTAATTCAATAGTAAACGCACCTATTCAACCAACACACACATACACACACACATACACACACACACACACACACACAGAGAGAGAGAGAGAGAGAGAGAGAGAGAGAGAGAGAGAGAGAGAGAGAGAGAGGGAGAGGGAGAGGAGGAGAGAGATACATTACCTAAATATATATCCATATATTATATAGTGTTTTGTGTGAGATAAGTTTTGGGCTAGGTCAAGTTAAGTCGTATTAGAGGATAATCCGATGTGAGTCGTGGGACAGAGTTTCTCGTAAGTTGGGGGTGGGTTTTAAGGATGGGGATGGTTCTCTCTCTCTTTCTTTCTTTATTTCCTCTTCGTCCCTCGTGGCACAACAAAGCGTTTCCAGGGTAACTGTTAGCTCGAGGTTGCCATCACAAAACTTTCCAGCTTGTGACTGAAAACATTAATGTAGGGGTTTCGGGGTGAGCGCGCGCATATTCGAAAGGGGTGGGGGCAAGGGCTCACCGCGTACACGCAAATATGAGAGAAAGAGAAAGACAGAGGGAGAACTCACACGCCCATTGACACGCAAGCACGCATGTTTTCCTCCCGACTTTGTCCTCTCGTCTAGGCGTTCCCTATGTGCTACCCACATCTCTCTTTTCCCTTCTTTCTTTTTTTTTTAATTTATTTATTTTTTATTTACTTTGTTCTCTTTATCGTTATATTTAAATAGGAAAAAAGGAGAGATGCATATTTTATGTGAATATTGAAGATGATAGCTTATAGAGTGTATATATATATATATATATACATGTCTCATGTTAATGTATGTGAATAAGAATTATTATTATACTTTTTTTTTTTCCAAGAATAAATCACAGTATCGTAATTTTATAGAAAAATGAATCGAATGTTTCTCATAAGTTCGTTTCAATTTTATAAATAAGATGGAGATAATAGAAATAAAAATTAAATAATATAGAGATAAAATAATATATATTCCATAGATTTATAAAAGACACATAATCTTTTGTCGGCTTTTAACTATATTGTATTATAGTTTTCCAACAGATTTTATTATATTTTTCTATTAACATTATGGTATGTAATGACATTAAGTGTATGTCATCATTACTGACCTTGATAGTATAGACAAGTTACATCACATCTCCCCCCTACACACGCGCGCGCGCGCGGGTTCAAGAATGATATAATTACAATGTCACGGTTTACATTGCCTTGTATCAAATTCCTGATTGGTCGTTTTTCAATGTGTTAGCCTATTTATTTCCTCTTTTGGTGTTAGTTTCATTTTATTCCTATTTTTTTGTTTATTTATATTTAAATTATGAAATTTAATTTTTTTTTATTTAATATTTTATCCCTATGTAATATAATATAAATTAGAAAATATTAGTATATTTTGTGTATTATTGCAGTACTATCTATGTGTAATATTATACTTTATATTACAACATATTTATTAACAACACACACACACACACACACACACACACACACACACACACACATATATATATATATATATATATATATATATATATATTAATTATTGTATAGAAAATCGTCAAGATTATTTGATAACGTAAAATACGTGATTAATAGAAAATGATGTAGTTTTTACCACGCAAATTTCAACCACATATATATATACACATAGCCGTACATAAAAGTGACTATGCTAGGCGCGTGTTTACACTTGCTCACCGGTTTCTTAATTTGCATGAAATATAGGTTACTATACGACCTCGCTTGATATCGCACTTTTACGTTGAATAGTACTAGTTGTATGAGTTTCTTTTCTCTAACATAAACTCTTCCTCGAAGAAATATATTACGAATTTTCTTTTTAATCTCCTCATCGCGCGAAATTGTAAAGGAAAGAACAAAACTATTTTCAGGTCTTAAAATCAGTTAAAAAAAGAAGAGGAACATGTTATCTGAAAAATGTTCGTTATCAGAACATTTATACACTAGATCAAATATATTAGACTGATGTATGCTAATGTCTACAAATGTGGTTTTCTACTTATGACTATTTTTTATGTTTAATAGCATATATTATACTATTATTATGCTTTGCTAAATGTTAAGAATAAGTTTAATATAGAAGGTATATTTGATGGTCCAAATATAATAGAAAAGAAATAATTTTTATTCGAAGATATTTTCCAAACTATAGAAGTCACCGATATTATTTTCAGAAATATTTATGTCATTGAAATTACTTGAAATATATCCAATATATATGTGTTTCTTATATCGAATTAAAAAAAAGATAACAACCTTATAAACAAACTTTTCAAACAAATATGCAAATTATCATCTCCACTATATACATAATATGAAATAAATAAAAATAAAAAAAAGAAAACAAGAAAGCGAAATTAATATTTTTATTTGAAAAGAGAGAGAGAGGGGGTAGGGAGGGAGAGAGAAATGTATATGGGGAGGTAGATATTGTGAGAAATTTTTCGCGTTAAAATTGTTATCATGAAAAATTTTCAAACAAATATGCAAAATCAGTTTTAAAATTAATTTTCATATATACAAAACACGGTATTAAAAACAAAAAGAAAAAAAAAGAAAATGCAAACGAGATCAGAGAATTTTTTCAAAATGTATAGTTTAATTTGAAAAATAAAAAGGATAGTAGAAAGGTGCTTCTCTATGTATGTGTGTCTGTCTGTGCGTGCGTATGTAGATGTGTGTGACTGTGCGCGAGACAGAGATCGCGAGAAACTTTGTACGTTAAAATTGTAACCATTTGGTAGATTTTAAAGCACCGTTTTAGGAGATCGGTAAACGCCTGACACGGAGAGAAAATACGTACGTACGTACATATAAACATAAATACCTTCACACACACACACACACACACACACACACACACACACTTAGTTGGCAACTAAGTGATTGCGGATTTTGTCGATAGATGAACTTTACACTTTTTTTTGTTAAATCCGCAATCACTTAGTTGCCAACCAAATACATACATACATACATACATACATACATACATACATACATACATACATACATACATACATACATACATACATACATACATACATACATACATACATACATACATACATACATACATACATACATACATACATACATACATACATACATACATACATACATACATACATACATACATACATACATACATACATACATACATACATACATACATATATACATACATACATACATACATACATACATACATACATACATACATACATACATACATACACGCATACACGCATACACGCATACACGCATACACGCATACACGCATACACGCATACACGCATACACGCATACACGCATACACGCATACACGCATACACGCATACACGCATACACGCACACACGCACACACGCACACACGCACACACGCACACACGCATACACGCACACACGCATACACGCACACACGCATACACGCACACACGCATACACGCATACACGCATGCATGCTTGCGTACATACATATATCACACACACACGCGCGTTTCTTATTGATTTGCTGCTTCCTCATGCGTTCCAGTTTGCTGCCTAACCCGGCGGTAAACATTCTTAGTAAGTGGAACGAAAAAACGGACCGTTAAATTTGCTTCTCACTTTTTGACAAAATGCGGACAGAGTAATCTTTTTTTTATAGATGTGTGTGTGTATATACACGTACGCATTCATTCATTTTTTTTTACGTTTAACGTATTTACAACGTGTTATTAAATTCAATTAGAATTAGTTAGAAAAAATATTTTTTCTATATGATAATTTTGTTGAGAAATTTATTATTCAGATATTAATTATTTATTTAATTCTCTATTTGAAAATTTATTATTCGAATTATAAATTTACAGTAATATATTAGTTTTATAATTGATTTATTTGTTTTAAGATTTTTTATTCTTACCCAAAAATATTATATAATTAAATATTTTTAATTATTACAAATTTAATACATGATATTACATTATATTGTTCTTTTTTCTTCTTTTCTTCTTACAAATATGGAATATAAAATAATTCGATTATAATTTATTCTTTACTTTATTATTTTTTATTTATTTATTTTTTTATTTTTTAGTTTCGAGATAAACATGTGAAGGTGAACACAGGTATTATATATATTTATGTATTTCTAAATATATTTCTTTTTATTTCATTATAATTATTCGTCGATGTCCTTGAAAGCACGCAGTTAAGAAAAAAAAATTTCTACGTTAATAATTTGACGCATTCAATGATTCAATTTAATTTTTTCCCCATTTTAATTTTTTCCCCATTCCTAATCTTATCTCATAAATAGCTAACATTTTCGGCGATAATAAAAAAAATTATAGGATTCAACAGAATCCTCCGAATCGATAATACAATAAAAAAGAAGAAGAGAAAGATTAAGTTACATCTTTTATGATCACGAATAACCGGTTTATGTATTATAAAAGAAGTTCGAAATAATTTAGGTTTATCAAAATATTGTAACATGAGCGCGCGCGAGAGCGCGCCCGTGTGTATACGTGTGTACATACATATATATAATATATATGATATATTAATATTAATACAGAATGTCCTAACGAAAAGTATCAATCAGAGTTATTATGAAATTTAGTGATTTTTTAATTATTTTTTCCAAAAAACGTCGAGATAGATTAATTTTATTTTTGAAAGGAACATTTGTCCTTGTCATAAATTCACACATTGCGGACTAATCCCCTAAATATTGGTAGGGCGGATGAAAACCTTCTAAAAATATTTTTAAACGGTAAGAGTTAATGATATCGTTATCAAAGTCTTTAAATTCTTTTTGGTTTTATTTGTTTCAATTTGGAGTTAATAATTTTCGAGTAAAATGCGTCTCGAATTTTAAAATATAATAGAATGGAAATTCACCATTTTACCATTTGATCCCTGGTGTCATATAAGATTTTTGAACAAAGTTTTTATCTCTTGTGAAGAGTATAAACAAAAGTAAGTAAATTTATGAGGTGGATTTGTCACCCTATAAAACAAAATTGATGTCTCTTCGCGTTTTTCGAAAAGAAATCATTAGATTTCATAATAATCCTGATGGACATTTTTTAATTGGGACAATTTTTATATATTAACTATGAATATATGTGTCTCGTGTAACACATATACACACACGTGTATATATGTTACGTATGAGAGAGAGAGAGAGGCCGTGAATTTTAACGTATTCGTAGATTGCTTAAGAAAATTGCAACAGTGTTAGACATTTCTCGAGTTCCTCTGGCTAAAGAGTTTCCCTTTTTTGAATTTCATCTCTCTCTCCTATCTTCCTCTTTCGTTCACCTCCTCCTTTGACCTCTCTCCTCCTTCCACTTTCCTCCTCCTTTCACCTTCCTCCTTCTTTTGCTTCCTTCTATTCTTCCTTCGTCGTCCTCGTTGTCGACTCGTAGGCCTTGGAACTCGCAGAGTACTTTTAAGTCGATGGAATGCAGCGATCGCGAAGTCGTCGGTTACTTGATCTAGGTCTCTTGAGATTAGCGTGAAGAGGAGGTGGTATACCTATACCACACGTCGCAGCAAAAATTATATATGATCTCATACATACGATAACTCGCGCATTAAGCGAGTACGAATGAGTATGAATTTTGAATTTTTTATCTGAATGTTATTTATTTTACGATCTTGCCCTTTAATTTGGCTGTAAATTTGGGTAAATTTAGGGAGAAGAAAGAGGAAAAAAAAGTAGTGTAGTAATTGTAGTACAACGGAAATGGAAGGAAATTCATTGGTTCTGTTTATTTCTCTCTCTCTCTCTCTCTCTCTCTCTCTCTCTCTCTCTCTCTCTCTCTCTCTCACTCTCTCACTTTTTTTTAGAACATGCATTTTAATTTATAGTGAAGAATCATATAGTGAAATATCGTAAAAACGAAATGAAAGCAGATTCGTTGATTTTCTTTCTTTTCTTTTTTATTAAACGAATCGTTGGTAAACGATTGGTAAGTTACGTAAAATTCGTTTTTTATTTGAATTGACTTAAAGCGAGAGAAATGTTTTTGTAAATTTTTTTACCGATTCGTATTTCGTGGCGATTCGTATTTACGTTCAATGCTTGTTAGCACGATATTTTCCTAGCTGGTCCGATTTCTTTTCGAGAACTCTCGAGAAATACGAAGTTGATAGTAGTAATGTTTATAAGGCACGTATTTTTGGAAGGCCATGAGGAAAGAAAAAAAGTATATATCCTGAAACTCGTTAGTTATCAATATGTATATTTAGAACGGCTAGAGCAACGATGTACGAGAGAAAAATGATTCGTTTATTTTTTTGAATAGAAATGTAAATTTTTTCAAAGTTCTTGTGTTGAACTATTCCCAATTGTTGGATTTTAAATTAGACTTCTTCAACGTCGAAAAAGGATTTCAACAAATTCTAGATTGTATAGTTTAAAAGTTGGGTAGGTAAAAAAAGAACGAACGAGAAATATCCCTCATTTCGTTTAGCATGCTTTTATTTATTTTTATGTATAATTATTTTGATATATAATTCTTTTATTGATATAATTTATTTTAATAAGTTTTTTGTTGATTTTATTTATGAATATATAAATGTATAATATATAAATTTATAAATATATAAATAATTATATCAACATATAATTATTAAAAAAAATAATATATATATATATATTTATATGAAATATGTTTTATTTCTTTTTCTATAATAAAAAAATTGTATAAGAAGAAAACTGAATATATACACATATATTATATTTAGTTATTTTTTTAATATAATTATTTTTATATATAGTCACTATTTTTCGTATATAATAATTTTTATCTATGGAATCACCTATTTCATACATACATACATACATACGTAAGTAAACATTATCTACGTAATTGCAACTAATATATGTGTAATATCTTTTATTTTAATATTTTATTATTCCTGTTACTGCTATAATCGTACAGCAATACTCTATTATATTTTAATCTTTTTTATCTCTTCTATTTATTTATTTTTTTTTTAATACTTATTTCAAGATTATCATGTATAATTTCTGTTTCTTTTTATCTTTTTGAAATAATAGTTTCTTAAAAAAAATCTATAGTAATAAATTCTTTCTCTTTTTTTTTACTACATTATTTCACAATCATTCGTTTCAAAAGACATCGCGATTCGTGTCACCAACAGACTGATTTCATTAAATACGTTGTGAAATGCGAAAAGCTTGCAGATCGTTGCCTATCTTTCCTCTCAAAGTGAGAAATATGTTCGTTCGTTCGTTCGTTCGTTCGTTCGATCGTGCATGCTTGCATTATTCAATAGATAGCCATTCGATCTTCGTAAGTTCACATGATAATATCTTTTATTGCCATTACTAATCTGTCATTTCAACACTTATTACCTGTATATGTATCTACAGGATATACGAAAAGTCCTTAAACGTGCTGAAAATACTTAAATGATTTTAAAAATTCGTTTATTCCGTTTCGATATTATTTTAGGTTAAATATTTTTGTTTGTTTTATTTTTTCTTCAGATTGTAAACTACAAAAGAGTCGAATTATGTGTCTAACAAGTATCGAAAAAGAGTAATTGACTTTTAAGATCACCTAGGAACTTTTGGTCCACTCTGTATATGCGTACATATGTATGTAAATACGTATATATAGACTTATGAAATACACCTGTCGCTGCGCCTACGCTTTTTATTTTATCTTATCATTTTTGTTTTTGGAACTGTCGTTTTTGGAATGTGATAACAAATTGCATTTTTTTCTTGTTCTTTTTTTCTTTTTCTTTTTTTCCGTTTATCTCTTCATCGTAATTTGTCTTTAATTTCGGACGTAATTCTCTTTTTAGAATTTTGAGTATCGATTTCCGATTTTAATTTTGTGTATTTTAATTTTTTATTTATCTTTTTTTGCTTCTTTTTTAGTATAGGTTGGTCAAAGGTTCTTAATCAAAAGTTCTTTGGTTACATTAACAATTAATTACCCTCTTCTTTAGAGATCTTTTAGACTTATGGTTAAGCAAAATAATTTTCCAAGCTGGATTTGTAGTTTTATAATCTGTAAATATAACTAACATAAGACGTATCGGAAAGGAGTAATTGATTTTTAAAATCGTATAACAACTTTTGGCCGATCTGTATTTTTATATTTCGCATTTACTTTTTGTTCTGTTTTTTTTTTTATTTTTACAAATTTTTATCCGATATAACTATCAATGCCATCATCAGAAAAGAGTTCTTGAATTGTTTATGTATTTTGATATAATTTAATTTTTAATCCCCTTTCTTTTTCATAAATTTTTTATCGTTATTTATCGATTTATCATTATTTACTTGAAAAAAAAGAGAGACGAATGAATTGAAAGATTGAGAAATCATGTGTATCAACAAAGCAATGTTTTCATCTCTTTAAACTTATAAAAAGTTTTCTTTTACCATAGAAGTTGTCCACCTGCTAGTCATATAAGTCAAATGTTTACCTTAGAAGTCCTGTTAGATATTCAAGAGTGTGATAAACGTGCATAAAAGTAAAGGACCATGATTCCGCGCGCGCGTGTATGTATGTATGTATGTATGTATGTATGTATGTATGTATGTATGTATGTATGTATGTATGTATGTATGTATGTATGTATGTATGTATGTATGTATGTATGTATGTATGTATGTATGTATGTATGTATGTATGTATGTATGTATGTATGTATGTATGTATGTATGTATGTATGTATGTATGTATGTATGTATGTATGTATGTATGTATGTATGTATGTATGTATGTATGTATGTATGTATGTATGTATGTATGTATGTATGTATGTATGTATGTATGTATGTATGTATGTATGTATGTATGTATGTTTGTATGTATGTATGTATATGTATGTATGTATGTTTTTGATAAAATTTATTTAAAGTTGTCCGTTATTTTAAATTCTTTCTAATTTTCTATGGACAAATTACACACATACAATATTTTTAATTCCAGTGAGAATTTTTAAATTTAACAATTGCAAAATAAAATTTACATAAAATTATTAATTTCAATTTTTTATAATTTTCAATGGGTTTTAATTGAATTTGGTCGATACAACAAATTGTTTACAACATTGTAATATAGTTACAACACTGAACAAAATTTTAGAGAATTGTTTTAAAAAATTCATTTTTCTAATCGTTTTTTATATACTTAATTCTATTTTTAAATTTTCCTATTAAATAAAAATTAATACCAGAAACAAACAATTAATCAATTAATTAATTAATTATGTGTATTGCAATTGCATTGGATTGAATTCGATTTGGAGAAAATCTCTTCAAATCTGATCATTTTGATCATGCCAATCCGAAAAAGGTAATACCAATAGTTTTTCTTCGTATCAAGGATAATCGGTTGAATACTTCGAATTGAAAGAATTTCTTTTTTCTTATCTCATTGTTCTACAATTAAAGTCTTTGCAATGAATTCTCAGAGGATTCGAGACAGGAATCATATTCAGTAATCACTATAAAGCACACATCATGCTGGATTAATGTATCATACTGAGAGATCAGCCTTTAAAAACATGGGTTTTCTCTCTCTCTCTCTCTCTCTCTCTCTCACTCTCTCTTTCTCTCTCTCTCTCTCACTCTCTCTTTCTCTCTCTCTCTCTCACTCTCTCTTTTCTCTCTCTCTCTCTCTCTCTCTCTCTCTCTCTCTCTCTCTCTATATATATATATATATATATATATATATATATATATATATATATATATATATATATAGACAAACACACTTGAAACGTTTATTAATATATTTAATTTATCATTGAATCAAATTAAATCTTAATTAATTTATATAAATTTTTTAATAATAATTAATCCTATTTTAATCTTTTTTAATTATTTTTTTTCTCTTTTAATAGAAATTTATATAGGAAATTTAAAAAATGTAAATTTTTGAAAAATATTTATAAAAACATTAAAAGTATTTACATATACGTTAGAGATTAGAAATATTTTGGAGAGTGCAAGAAATGGACACATTAGAGATGACCTTGAACCTGGCATTGCTCGACCTTGCTAGGAGCGCATCCTCCTTCGCCCACCTTCCCCAATCCTACCCCTATCCCTCTTCTTACTCCTTTCCTCTCTTTTACGAGTACGAAACTTTTGCTTTCACTTTGCGTCGCATTCTTGCCCACGTGTTGTGCTTAATCCATGCACGAGATTGTGATAGTGAAAGTGTATGTGTATGTGTGAAAGAGAGAGACCTTTGGGATCGTTGAGTATCTATCTCTTTCATTCGTAATTCAATCGTATTGAAAAGACGTTTAATATTTGTTTAATTGTGCGTGTGTGTGTACGTGTGTGCGCGCGCGCGCGTAGTGTGTGATTGGTTATAATAATTATATGTTGTAATAGATGTTAACTTAATAACCATGTACCTTCGAAATCACACAGGATGGGCTAAAAGTTGTTAAGCGATTTTAAAAATCAATATTTTTTTTCGAGATATTTGAGGTTCATTTTCTTTTTTTTTTTTTATTTTTTTCAGATTGTAAAACTACAAACCATGTTTGTAGAACTACGAGCCTAATTACAAAGTCTAAAAAGTCTAGAAAAAGAGTAATTTTATTTTTAAAATTACTTAACCTATCTAAGAACTTTTGAATCCTGTTTATGTATGAGCGTGCGTGTATGTGCGTGTACTTTTTAAATAATTTTTATTTTTAAAGATTACTTGACTACTTTGACGATAAATTTTTATCTATCTTCAAATTTAAATGACTCGGCTAATGTAATATGCTGATTTGTATTTTTTTTTTTCTTTACATATGTATATTTGTATGTATTTTAATTCTAGAAGAATACTCGTTTTTAATCGATGAGAATGGGGTCATTCTAATCTTCCTTCTAACCAGAAATAATTCATAACCTGTAAATTAATTTTGTTTGCCCTTAAGTAACTATTTGACCTAACCTGTCGGTAATTAAGGGTAATTATTGTAATTTTTTTTTTTAATTTTATTTTCTATTGTCTCGTTTCTTAATACGTCAATCTTCTTTTTCCTTTTTTTTTTTTTTTTTTGGAAAATCAGCAGAAGAAGAATTGAAAAGTAGAGAGAAAGCATGAGTAACTTATTGACGCGTGTGTAACGCGATAGTCTTAGAGTTCAACACGCGAATCTTGTCCTTTATAACAGTAATTTAAATGTTCTCATGGTTGCTATAACAAGAGTTATGTAGTATTATTATTATTTCATTTTTAGTTTTTATTTCTATTTATTTTTTTTTCCTGTTATATCGATAAGTTCTAATGTTAACTTTGTTATTTATTGTTCATTTTCATGTCGCAAAAAATATATATAATTTTTATTGAAATGGCTGCCAATGAACGTATTAATATTTTCTTTTTTTTCTCTTATAAAAACAATCCAAATGCAAGTATTATCTTCCATATTTTAACTTTTTCTTTTTTTTTTAATCTTTACTAATCAAATTTAAGAACAAGAATATTTATTTTTTTGTTATTTTATAATTTATTATTATTATTGTTATTATTATTATTGTTTGTTTATTTAAAAGAAAGTTATTGATATCTTTTTCGACTGTTGCATTTATTGTAATAATATGTATATTAAAAAAAAATGATAACTGTATTATATATGGTGGAGCCGAAAAGTTTTAAAATTATCTTAAAAATCAATTAATTCTTTTCAAGACTTTTTATCGGATTGTAAATCTAATAGGAAGCCTAAAAAGTTTCGAAAAAAAAAAAGGAAAAAAAAAGTAATTGATTTTGAAAATCATCTAGGAACTTCTGGCTTCCATTCTGTGTATATGATAATAATTACTTACCTACGTGTAATTAAAATTTTAGAATAGAATAAGTTTGAAGATCACTTTGAAAGTTTCTCTTTAACTTTTCAAAGCGGATGAAGTCACATTGAGTTAACGGAGAAATGCACGATCAGAATCTTTTGACTACTATCTGTTCTAAAAGGCAACTAGCAAGTATTCGAGATGACACTCGTGATATGCATATTTTACGACATTAACGAAGATTACACTCTCTCTCTCTCTCTCTCTCTCTCTCTCTCTCTCTCTCTCTCTCTCTCTTCTCTCTCTCTCTCTCTCTCTCTCTCTCTCTCTCTCTCTCTCTCTCTCTCTCTCTCTCTCTCTCTCTCTCTCTCTCTCTCTCTCTCTCTCTCTTCTTTTTCTTTTCTCTCTCGGCAAAAGATGTTGACTTCGCTACTTGTAACCTGAAATTTCCTTCGAAAGAAATGTTAAAAGTACTTACAAATAAGAAAAAATATTGAAAGGAGAATAAAAAAATGAAGATAATTTATCCTGAAAAATTACTAACAATATCGTCGTTTTATTCTCTTGAAAAAGATTATGTAAATTTTAGATTATATTTTTTTTTCGAAATATTTTACTCATTTTAGAATCTATTTTTTCTTTTTTCGTTTTCCTTTTTTCAAAAACTATGTTAGTCCTAGATTATATTTTCTTCTCGATGTGCAAGTTTTAAGATATATTCTTGGCTTGAAAAATTATGCTATTTTTAGATTAGGTTTTCTTTTCGAAAAATTATATAATTTGATTTTGAAACATTGCACGAGTTTTAAATTAGATTTTCTTCTTGAAAAATTATGTAATTTTTAGATTATATGCTTTTCTTTTTGTAAAATTTAGGTAATTTCTTTTTAATGCTTTATAATTTTTGAAAATTATGTGATGATTAGATTATATTTTCTTCTCTAAAAATTATTGCAATTTTTAGGATCTAATCTTTTCTTCAAAAATTATACAATTTCTAAATAAGATTCTTTGTTCGAAAAATTATGCACCTTTAAGGGTTAATTTTCTTTTTAAAAAAATTATATAATGTTCAAATTATGTTTTCCTACATAAATTAAGCAATTTTTTCAATGATTTATTTTCTTGAAGAATTATGCAATTTTTAAATTATACTTATTTTCTCCTAGTAAAATTATGCAATCTTTAAGATCTATTTTTTTTTCTTGGTAAATTGTTCAATTTTTATATTATCTTTGCATCATCTTAATGTCATATTTGAATAATTAAATAGACACTTATTAATTTGTTAATTTTTATAATAAATTATAGAAAAAAATATCGAAGTAATCGAATTATCATTATGACGAAATTTCGTTTCGATGATATCCAACGGTGAAAGGATCTTGATCGAGTTGTATGATAATTCAATTAGTGTCCTATTTTAGACGGGAAATTAATTAGTTGACCACCTTAATTAATATTATTATATATTACCTTACGCATCAATTTGTTTAATTTAAGATTTTCACTAATTTGAGTTTTTTATTATAACTAATAAGTTATTATGAATATTTAATAATATAGATACAACAATTTTAATGAAATAATTAAATAAATTCTCATTTTTTTTAATTAAACAAGTCTCCTGTTTTTATTTAACTTATTAATTATAAGGGCAAGAAGATTTACAACAAATGTTGAATACATTTTGTCATTTTTAAGACTTAAATTATATATATGTTTATACATATTTATATAGAAGGCATGTTATAAACTAAATTTAATAACAAATTCATAAATGTCATGCACATTTTTGCACGATCATTTTTACTGTTGATCGATCAGACAAGCGAATGGTCAATCGATCGTTATCGTTACAAATCGCTATGTTTGTGACCCGCATTCCACTGTACATATATTCATATATACATATATACATACATGCATACATACAAACATGCACAAACGCATACATGCACATATACATACATGCGCGCGCGCATGTGTGTGTACAAATATACATGTACATACATATGTATGGTATGTACTCTGCATACGATATCTTTACTCAGCGAATTCTCCTTTTAGTAGTAATCGATCCGCCCTCGACGATGACTCTCAATATTTGTACGACGTCGAAAATATCCTTCAATTATTAATAATTATTTATTGCGAATAACATTTGTTAAAATCTTTTTCATTATGTGACATTTTTTATAGGAAATAACGTGAATTGCAGAAATATTTTCAATAAAATTTTTTCATCACTTACATTTTTTTAATTGGAACTTAAATGTGCTTACTAACTTTATGTGTAATCTTTTATTTTCATAATTGCAGCTAAAAACTGAATTACGAAATCGATAGGAAATATCTTATTCTTACTTTATATCGAGATATCTTAAAATACATAGAACAAATAATGCCAGAACTTTTGAGAATTTGGTATTTTTATATTTGAGTTTGTATGGTGTAGTGGTATATGTTTTATGTATGTACATTGTGTACATGTGTCATAGTGTAATGGTATGTAAGTATGCTCTATATGCGTATGTTTATGTAGTACATTTTAGATATTTACGACGATAGAGAAACCTTTCTACGAATTAGTAATTGATCAGTGTTGTTCAAATTAAATATAAATTATAAATAATATAACTAAAGAGTAATAACAACATATATATACAATATATATTGTTATTACAATATGTATAAATAATATATGTTCATAGTCAAGTAGATAAAAAATATTATTGGTTATTTTTAACCATAAGTTATGGGTACATACATATATACATACATATTATTATGTATTAAAAAGAAATGTATGTTATATACATACTTGATATTCCATATATTTACTTCAGTGAAAAATAATTTTCTATATTAACAATTGTCTGTAATTTTTTATTTTTACAATTTTCATTCTACAAAATTTTTATTATATCTTTTTAATAATAATTTTATATTATATTTTTATATTATTATATTTAATTAATTATTATAATTTACATTATAAAATTTTTTTAATTATACCAATACGATTATAAATTATTCGCGCGCACATACACACACAGACATTTATTAATGATACAAATCGATTCAGTCACGCGACATTTTTATCTTTTTTTTTATCTCTCTTCTTCTCTATTATCGTCAGCTTTAAGGACCATCACTGTACCTATACATCATATTGACTATAATTTTTTTCGTCCCTTTTCCTTCTTTTTCTTTTCTTTCCTTTTATCTATCTCATCGAACATATCTTCGTATTATAATGGATCATACATTATGCTCGATGCCCTTTACGTTCACTTGTGAGTAATTAGGCTACTCTAGCGTATCTCTTTGGTATATCGATCGATCGGTTGGTCTCGTACACATATATATACGAGGAATTCCAATGTTCGCGTCACATATGTATGTACATATGTCTATGTATTAGTGTGGAATTGAAGTGGGTGGTAGAAGAGGAGTTGCGGAATGCGGATACTTTTTGTGGCGAATGTGCGAAATGCGGACACGAAGGGTTAACAGGGCAGTCATAGGGTCAGTAATCGGGATCATCGTTGAACTCTCTAAATGTGTTAAATACTTGACAATTCCAGAATGGGTTGAATACTCACTTTAATGGTACTTTTTTTTTCTTTTCCTTTTTCTCTATTTTTTTTGTAAATTCTCGATATCTTTTGTTAACGAGTTCTTTCCGTTATTATTGAATTAGTTGCTCTTATGTGCTTTCCTTTTTTTTTATATATATTTTTTTTACATATTTTATATAATTAATAATATAATATTATATAATAAAAAATTTATCAATGTAGGCTAGTAAATTTTATAGTAATTTATATATATATATATATATATGTATGTATGTATATATATATATGTATGTATGTATATCATATACAAAAATTATGTTAAATTATAATAATATATATGTGACGTATATATATTGGTATATTATATCTTTTAGCTCAGTACTATTCTCCACTTGTATATATTTTTATTTACTTTTGTATTTTCCTTTTGTTTTAAATCTTGACTATCTTTTATGAATGAAATCTTTCTGTTATTATCGAATTATTTTCTCTTATATTTCATTTTCATTTTTTTTGTATGTATGTATTATAAATGTAATATATAGGTAATTTTATACACACATATATATATATATATTTTATATATATATTTAAAGAAATTTAACAAAATAATACAGAAAAATGAAGAGTCTTAAGGCGTATTCTATTTGGAACTTGTGTCGATGATCACGCTCGCCTTCGCTCTTGTCCTTTTCTTTCGAGGATCCAAGGTTCACTTTCGTACACACGTATACGCAGATACTCATTTTCACATTGAAATAAAGCCTCGAAAAATTCGTAAGTGGACTGATATGAGAAACGATATTCTTATACACGGTGACTCGCTTATACTTCACGTACAAAGCATCGACTAAAATACTCGATACCACACACACACACACACACACACACACACACACACACACACACACACACACACACACACACACACGCACGCACGCACACGCACGCACGCACGCACGCACGCACGC